TGGGGATTTAGCTCAGTGGCAAAGCGCCTGCCTGGCAAGCGCAAGGTCGTGAGTTCGGTTCCCGGTACCGGAGAAAAACCAAAAAAAAAAAAAAAAGGAAGTGAGAAAAGGTACAAGGGGCTCTCCCAAACATCCACCTTCACACGCAGCTGTCCACATCTGCCCCGCCCAGGTGTAGCCGGTACACAATTCCTGCTGGGAAGAACACTGTCATTTATTCCAAGACTCTACTTATTTCTGTTGCTACCTCGTCAGGCATTTATATTTTTTGGAAATTTACAAATTTCAAATTTACAAATTTACAAATTTACAAATTTCCCTGTAACACTAAGGCTAACTTATTTTGTCTCTCTGTGCAGCCCAGGCTGGTCTCAAATTCGTGGCAATCCTCCTGTCTCAGCCTCCTGGCTGCTGAGGTTATAGGCTTGTGCTGCCATGCCTGGCATGAGGGGTAACTTTGTTTTTTTTTTGGTACCAGGAATTGAACTCACGACCTCATGGTTGCTGGGTAGGCACTGTGCCGCTGAAGGGTAACTTTTAACCTAAGTGTCCTACTAGGTCACCAGCCAAGCAAGCCCTCCACAGATCCCGGCTTTGTATAACATTCCTGAGTCAGAGGGCAGCTGCTGTGAGGAACTCAACAGTTTGTAAGACACACTTGAACCTGAAGCGATCATTTGTTTAAATTACTCCGGCAGTAAAAATTTACACGGCAGCTATAACTTGAGATCATTATTTAAAATAACATTCCAATTAAGCCTAATTGTTAGCTGAGTAGAAAGCAGACCTGACTGTAAAATGAATGAGAATTGAAAACTTTTGGGAGATTAAATTTTGTTCAGCTATGTATCTCCTTCCATTAAAGAGATTTTAATTACATTCAGCAAACACGAAGTGCGCCGTTCTGAGTTATAAAAAGGATTGGGCCTCAGTTCACCTCAGGCAGTGCACCCGCCTGGGACTCAGCTATTAAGGGATTAAGTACAGATCGTGTGTTGCCTTTGCCTTTCCCTCCAGATCGCGTGGCTTTGACTTTTCCACTTACAGGTTTGTGGATTGAAAGCAAAGGTCCTGGCCAGCCACTCGCTACTCACGGAGGGACACCTAATATTTTTAGCTAAGGGGAGACAGGATCGTTCAGTGCCTGGAAGGATGGGTTTTGCTGGGACTGGGTGGCAGGTGGCCGCTGCGTACCTCCCACCCTCTCCCGGTCCATGGTCCAGCTCCATGAAAATGAACCCAGGAAATGAAATCAGAGGCCCTCAGTTTCTCTGATGGTGAGAAAACACCAGATCTACAGCTCTGGGCCTCAGGGACTGCAACAGTTTCTTTCCTTAGGTCAGTTTAAAAATCTGCAGAAAGGGGGACTGTCCCTCAGATGGCACCTGGACACCTCCCGGTGCCTGGGATCTCGATCCAGTGCAGTCAGGGATGGGGCACACAGGGTTGGCACCGGCTGGGTTTTGGGCAGCAGGACAGATCTGGGTTGGTCACTGGGCGTGGTGGCACACACCTGTAATCCCAGCACTGGGGAGGCTGAGGCAGGAGGATCGTTGTGAGTTTGAGACGAGCCTGGGCTACAAAGTGAGCTCAAGGCCAGCCTGAACTACATAGT